CTCACCCTGCAGCAGGGTCATCGCCAGCAGTGCTAGGGCCAGTGGGGAGCAGAGACACCCCATGGTTCAGCCTTCCCCAGGCCTGCCTTGGACAAATGAGGCTGCCCCATTGCTCCAATCAAAACTCGGCTGGACAATAAAAGTGGGAGGTTTTCATGGGCACCTGTCTGCACCTCCCTGGATCTTTTATTCTCTAATAATGGGGACTGATTTCCTGGTAACCCAATCAAGGAAATAAGTGCTGCTAAATTCAAAGTGCCGAAGAGGGTGTGACCGCTTTCATTCTGCTCTGCCTGGTGTCACCCCAGTACAGGCTTCATTGAAAACCAAATGAAAACAAGCCATGATCCAGGTCATTGAGTCCAGGCCTATGGTGATTTTCACTTCCCCGTTTTATTGCCAACTCAATGTGCCAAGAAGAGAAAGTCAAAGATAGTATCCAGGTCAAGGGTGTAATTATCAGGTGGTTATGGGTACAATGGGGTTAAGGACACCATGGGGACTGGGGTTAAGGTTATGGAGATCATGGGGGTTGGGGTGGAGGTTATCATATGGTGTCTTGGGGGTTGGTATTGCAGTTTTCATTTTCTTTCTTTCTTTCTTTCTTTCTTTCTTTCTTTCTTTCTTTCTTTCTCAATCACCTTTTTTATTATGATTTTAAAAAAAATTAAATCTCGCTAAATTTCAGAATAAAGCATTGTTTCAGAGTCCAAATGTTTTGTTTGGAATATGTCAAAGAAACGGTTCCACTTTTCTTAATTTATATTTCACCTGAAACTATTTGCCGAATTCCGTCGGAATTTGTCAATTGTTTTGGTCAACCCCAAACTGCATATTTCAGCGAATAAACTTCCTCCAAAAGATGTCACTCAGCTGTGCTGACTAGCACAAGAAATACACAGCTCTAGACAAAATAGCCAACACACCTAAGTGCATCTTGTGGTCAGATGTCACCGGTGTGGTGCTCTGCTCTGTCAAATGTTGATAACTGTTCGACTGCATGCGTGTGTTCCCTCTGTGTGCTGCCCCGGCTCTGCACAGCAGACCCCGAGAGAACCCCCAATGACCACAGACTCCGATAAGGTATGAAGGCACCCGGCCAGGTTTATTGTCAAACGAAACACAGTCTCTAGCTCCCCGGATCAGATGTCTACAGTTCTGTCAGTACATATGTGCTCCCTGACAATGGACCGGCTCAGTCAGTGGTGGGACTCTCCACTGCCCCCTAGGCTGGACGAAGACAGCCCCTCAGAGGTACATCTTTATACACAGGTACAAACAAGTTACACATCACTCCTGACGTATTGAGGTGTGACCCTTGTACGTGTCAAGGTGCCGCCTATTACCTTGCACATGTTGGTTTGGGCAAAACAATTCTATCCATCATATTATCCTTTTGACCCTGTGTGATAGTGCTGCCTGTGGGAGCCAGCTGAGGTCACTCAATCAGGGTGAACTGCAAACAGAACGGGGCACCAAACCCCAGAAGCTGGTGGATCCTCCAATACTTAGATTTACCAACCAGCTCAAAACAGCCCCTGTATTACCTCACTGGTTACTCAGAGTCCAACCAACGCAGTTCCCTTAAAGTGCCCAGCGTCCGGCCTCCGTCCAGACACACGTCAGATATGATGATGATTCCTGACAATCTGATCTCATCATATAAAAGACAAGGTTCTTCCAACCCCAAAGGGTCAGCCACACACCCAGGTTCAATTATAACTTAGATCTTACCCAAAATACACGCTATAGTCAATTCTTATTAACTAAGCTAAAATGTATTAAAAAGAAAAGGGAGAGAGTGTTGGTTAAAAGATCAATATACAGACAGACTTGAATTCAATTCTTGAGGTTCAGACACAGCAGAGATGAGCTTGTAGTTGCCAAAAGTCCTTTTAGAAATAGTCCAGAGGTTATAGTCCAATGTCCATATTCAAGGTGGCTCCAGTCAGTGACTGGGGATCTCAATCCTTGTGGCTTAAGGTTTCCCCCTCTTGAAACCCAAAGCAGATCTGAGATGAAGAAGGATCATGTCCCAGGGTCTTATACATTTCCAGCAGCCTTTCGGCCTGAGAAAACAATAGGCCTAACTCTCCTTCTCCCAAATATCCTGGCAATTAGCACAGGATAATTTATCCATTAAACAATTCAGATACAGGTTACCACAACCTTCAAAGAGACATAGAGACAATAATACTATTTCACTCAAGTATCATTATAAATGTTAATATTTCTTTTTTGATCTTTGAATTTAAAACTATAGCAATACACAAGAATGGTTTGCTTACATCACAAGCCCTGAGCAAAATCTCCCCTTTTACTTCTAACAATGCAGACTTACATTTCAAATTTACATACCTTCCTAACCAGTCTAGGTTTACCCATGGGTCAGGTCAGTCTGAGTCTTTCTGGCCCTGTCACCTTCCAATGAAATATTATATTATACTCAGAACGTCACACCCTGCCTTTAGGATGGGTCAGCTTGTTCCTGTTCTCTGTGGGGAATGTGCTAGTACTGGAGTGCTCTGGTACCATCCTGTTACATGTTTACATAACTTGTTCCCAGTACCTTTTAGGTGTGTGTATTTTTGCAGCATCAGCCCTCTTCATGCCAGATTCTGTGAGCAGGGCCTGCCTCTGGCTCACCGCTTAACTTTGCTTTATGTTAGCAAGGACTTGACCATTACTTTAGCTCAGGCCTTAGGCCTCATACCAGGCCTCTGATGCAAGGGTTTATGGTTCAAGGCCTTATTTTACCACACATCTCCCTAGCTCAGGTTCCTCACTGCTGGGGAGAGTGCTCTGGGTTTGAACAGGGTCATGCCGCAGAGCTGGGGATAGATTGGATGCAGCATTCAAAAGCTACCATGTTACAGATGAAGAGACAAACGTCCAAACAGGCAGTGCTGGTCAGTTGAATGTAAGCCACTTGCAGATTCAGCAAAAAAAGTTCTTTCTCTGCTTAGATTGCAAGAGCTCATTTGGGATCTTTGCTGTGCCCGTCCCAATGGGGATCTCAGTTGGCAGTTGTTTATTGCCTGGCACAATGGCTCCCCGATCTCAATTGGGGTCTGTGCAGCACCCGGCACAACAGGGCCCCTCACTGAAACCTGCTGGGGTTTTTGGCTGGCCCTGTCCCAACAGCAAAAGAAAGAGGATGGACCAAAGGAAAAGCAGGATCCTGAGACGGACAGGCCCCAGGGCCAATGCAGAGAGGCCAGTGCTCCAAGTCAGCCTGATTGACAGGGAAGGCAGGCCAATGAGGCAGTCAGGAGCCGGGGTGGCCCTCCTCTATGTGAGCTGGGCAGAGCTAAGGGGAGCAGAGAGCAGCCGAGGAGAGCAAGGGGGTCCTGGCAGAGGACCCAGTGCAGGGAGATGTTGCCAGACAAGAGGCCTTGAAGGAGGCACTGGGAAGAAGGGTCCTGCCTCCTAGTGCCTGAGGACATGTGGCCACCGCCAAAGCAAGTGTCTGACCCACGGTGTCACCGCAGCCCAGCCAGGGCCTGGGCGGGAGGCCTGGGACGGGTGAGGAACACACTGTGACCTTTCCTGACACCCCAGAGACGGCTGTGTGTGGTGTCCCCATGCCCACACAATGGGGCTCATTGTTTCCTTTAACCTTTCCCAGTTTTCCCTGAGTTTTCTTAAAGTTGCTGTTTAATAATTGTATTAGGTTTTAACTGATTGCAGCGATCAGTGGATCAGGGAAGCGTCCAGTGTGGACAGAGCACCCTGGAGTGGGGACACCTGGCCGGGTCCCTGTCCTGAGCAATCACAACATGACTGGGGGGTCGAGCACCACAGGAGCCCTGGGCCCAGCCTTGTCGGAGAGGGGAAGGGGAGTTGTCGAGGTGCAGGCTTCTGGGTAAAGGGAGTTGGAGCGAGGACTCGGCGCCTTTGGTTAAATGATTCACCGGGGCCGTGCAGAAACCAGGAAAGTTCCCCACAATCGCAGGACCATCTCCCGCTTACACAAGCGCCCTCTCTGCAAAGGGCTCTAGGGAAAGGAGCCAAGAGCCCTCAGCCACACCCACGGCATCCAGTGACCAAACCCAGAAGCTAAAAGACAAGCTGAGTGGGGAGCGGCCAGCCCGTCACTCTGTGCAGAGAGACACGCAGAGAGCAAAGGAGGCAGAGGGAAAAAATCAGAGACAAATGGAAAATTAACCTCAAGATCTGCGCTCGAGTCTGTTCACCAGGGTGAGCTACAGGCTATGATAGCAGAGGGCTGTGGATTGGAATTGAGGGGCACTGGCAGTGCTCGGGGGGTGAGGCTCAGGGCTGGGATCGGGACTGAGGGGCACCGGCAGATCTAAGATCCATGGCTGAGGGTATCTCAGAGCAGGACAGTCCGAAATCTGCCAGGAGGCAGAGCAGGGCTGGCTCCAGCCATCAGGGCTGCCGGGCTCGGTGCCCAGATCCTCTCCAGTGACCTTTCTTCAATCCCCTCTCCCTGTCTGTAGCTAGCACCTGGGGGCGGGGTGGTTTGCTATGGCTGATTGTGCTTTGTCCAGGAGCCCCAGGGCCCTGTGAGCTGGAGCCGGGATTCAGGATGCCCAAGGCAGCCCCCATGCAATAATAACAGGAGTGATGGCAGCCCCAAGACCCCTTCACCAGCTGGGCTGGCAGGCGCCCGGGGGGCTCTGAGAGTCTCACCCCACGGCCAAGCCCATGTCCTGGCGGGTTGGGCGTTTCCAGTGTGATGAGCTTAGGGGGCAGCAATGGCTGTGTCATCCCCATCGGAGTTCAGGGCGCTGTGCTCCCAGACCCCCAGGCAACCCAAAACCCCACGAGCAGAGAGACACTTGCCAGCCCTGCCCAAAAGTGGGAGTGGCCAGCTCACAGCAGTGAACGGAAACTTACAAGGAAAGTGGTGAAAACTAACAATGGAGCCCAGGAGTCCTGGCTCCCAGCCCCCCTGCTCTAGCATGTCAGCCCTGGTGTTCCCATGTGCCAGCTCCTGACCCAGTCGATCTCCCCAGGCCTGCAGGGTCAGAGGGATGGAACAACTCCGGGAGGACGTCACCTGCTCCATCTGCCTGGACATTTTGGATGACCCCGTCTCCATCGAGTGCGGCCACAACTTCTGCCGGGGCTGCCTCTCCATTCACTGGAGCGAGGTCTCAGCCCAAGGGTGCCGCTGCCCGGAGTGCCGGGCTCCCTGCTCCGGGGACAGGATGATCCGAGACACACGCGTCAAAAACCTAGTGGAGAAAATCACCGAGCACCTGCAGGAAGAGCCAGAGCCGGTGAGACCAGACAGGCCGGGTAAGGGGGAAACGAGCTTTCTCCTGTCAGGGATACTCGGCCCAACCCAGCCCCTGGCCAGGGACTGGCTGGCTCAGGGGGGCAGGGAATGGGACATGGGGCCTGTCCCCTTTAGAGGGCGCCAGCCCTGATCTGGCCCCAGAGTGGGGACTGGCTGGCTCAGAGAGGTGGGGAATGGGACACACAGACTCACAGACTTGAAGTCCAGCAGGGACCATCATGATCTTCTAGTTTGACCTTCTCCACATTGTGGGCCACAGAACCTCACTCACCCGCTCCTGTAATAGACCCAGAACCTCTGGCTGAGTTACTGATGTCCTCAAATCATGATCTAAAGACTCCAAGTTACAGAGACTCCACCATTGACACTAGTTCAGGCCTGCTAGTGACCCGTGCCCCATGCTGCAGAGGAAGGTGAAACCCCCCCAGGTCTCTGCCAATCCGATCTGCGGGAAAATTCCTTCCCAATCCCATATATGACAATCAGTCAGACCCTGAGCATGTGGGTGAGACCCACCAGCCAGACACCTGGGAAAGAATTCTCTGTAATAACTCAGAGCCCCCCCAGCTAGTGTCCCATCACTGGCCGTTGGGGATATTTGGTACGAGCCTTCGCACATCAGCCATGTGCCACTGTAGACACCCTTATCATACCATCCCCTCCATGAAATTGTCACGCTCAGTCTTGAATCCAGTTAGGTTTTTTGTTCCCCGTGGGAGGCTGTTCCAGAACTTCATTCCTCCGATGGTTGGAAATCGTTGTCTAATTTCAAGGCTAAACTTGTTGCTGGACAATTTATAGCCATTTGTTCTTGTGTCAATGTTGGTGCTTAACTTAAATAACTCCTCACCCTCCCTGGTATTTATCCCTCTGTTGTGTTTCTACAGTAAAATCATAGCTCCCCTCACCTTTCTTTTGGTTAGGCTAAACAAGCCAAGCTCTTTGAGTCTCCTTTCATAAGACAGGTTTTCCATTCCTCGGATCATCCTAGTAGCCCTTCTCTGTATCTGTTCCAGTTTGAATTCATTTTTCTTAAACTTGGGAGACCAGAACTGCACACTCTGCTCCAGATGAGATCTCACCAGCGCCTTGTATAATGGCAATAACACTTTCCTGTCTCTGATGGAAATGCAGTAGGTACGGCCTAGAATTGCATCAGCCTTGTCACGGTCACATCACATTGGCGGCTCATAGTCATCCAGTAATCGGCCAATAAACCCAGGTCTTTCTCCTCCTCTGTCACTTCCAACTGATATGTCCCCACCTTGTAGTACAAATTCTTGTTGTTAGTCCCTATATGCATAACTTTGCACTTTTCACTATTCAGTTTCATCCCATTTTTATTACTCCAGTTTTCAAGGTTGTACCGATCTTCTTGTATGATATTCCAGTCCTCCCGCATATTAGCAATACCTCCCAACTGTGTGTCATCTGCAAATTTGATTAGCGCACTCCCACTTTTTGTGCCAAGGTCAGTAATAAAAAGATTAAATAAGATTGGTCCCATGACCGATCCCCGAGGAACTCCACTAGTAACCTCCCTCCAGCCTGACAGTTCCCCTTTCAGTTTGACCTGTTGTAGTCTCCCCTTTACCCAGTTCCATATCCATCTCTCAATTTTCAAATTAATTACCATCTTCTCCAATTTAATTTCCCATGAATACCTTACTGAAATCCAGACAGATTAGATCAGCTGCATGTCCTTTGTCTAGAAAATCATCCGAAGAAGTGGGCTGTAGTCCACGAAAGCTTATGCTCTAATCAATTTGTTAGTCTCTAAGGTGCCACAAGTACTCCTGTTCTTCTTCTCAAGGGAAGAGATCAGGTTGGTTTGGCACGATCTACCTTTTGTAAAGCCAGATTGTATTTTATCCCAATTACAATTTATCTCTATGTCCTTAACTACTGTCTCTTTCAAAGCTTTTCCCAAGACCCTGCATACAATTGAGGTCAAACTAATGGACCTGTGGTTTCCTGGATCACATTTTTTTTCCCTTTCTTAAATATAGGTCCTATATTAGCCATGAAACCAGTCATGGGATAAGAGCCCTGACTTTTACAGATTAATAACAAATCCTTGCTATTGGGCTTGCAATGTCATGTGCCAGTTTCTTTAATATTCTTCAGTGGAGATGGTCCAGGCCCTCCAGTTTGATCCCATTACGCTGTTTGAATTTGGCTTCCATTTCAGCCCATTCAGAGACAATTTCTACTTCCATATTCTTGTTCTCATTAGCCATCTTTCCACAAGCTTCTCATTACGGTTATTATAAACTGAGGCAAGGTATTCGTTTAGTTGTTGGGCAGTACCTACGTAACCGGGGCCAGCTTCAATATCTAGGGGTTCTTTTCCATTGATCCAACACAGAACCGGCTTGAGCCCCCACCCACTAACCTGGGACATTTACACACCACACCTTGGGCACCTCTCAGAGGCAATACTTCTCCTCTCACAAGCACAGAGTCTGAGTGTAGAAAAAACCCTTTTAATAAAAGGAGGTAAGTAACTCGGAGTTAATTTGGGAAAACACCCGAAGCAGGATTCATAAACATAAACCATGAGCAAAAGTTACACCCCCAGGTAGGCTGGACAGGGTCCTTTTCTCCTCAGGTTCTTAGGTCCAGCAACCCCAAAGTCAGTTTAACGTGCCCGTCCCTTCTCTGCACCCCACTCACTGTTGCTGTCCTTGGACAGTGCAGCCCCAGAGTTCAGAGGTGCATCTGCAGAGTTCACCTCCCACCCTGGGTGAAAATGGGGGTGGGGGGCGGAGGCACTTTACTCGTCCACTGCTGGAGCACTCATTCGCCAACCCTCTCTGCAGGGCTCTGCTCTGACAGTCTCTGCCAGCCGCCTGGCTGGCCATACCAAGGTGTCTTCTGGGGCCCCTACTTCACACAGCTCTCAGTGATTTCAGCTGTTAGTGGGGGAGCCTCACTGCTGGTGCACACTGGGCAGTCTCTTGCATCAGAGACACTGTCCCAAAACAGGTCTAATATCAATGATTTCAGCTCTGCAGCATGTAACAAGACTCTCAGTTGAGTATAAATTAGCTCTGTTATTCTACAGTGGAGAGAGGAAGGGGAAAGTGGTGTTTGGGTCTCTTGGGTGCGTGTGTGTGTGTGTGTGTTCCATTGGGATATGCCAGGTACAGTTCTGCTGCCCTTGGTTCACACAACAAAGATAACAACCCATTATTACTCCTGCCCCAATAACGAGTAGACTGGGGATCCAACACCAGGCACAAGTGAGCATTTGGGCAACCAATCCCATCATGCTGAGCACCTAGGCAGGGTGGGTGTGCCCATGCAAACGAGATCAGCTCCTGAAGTCCTTTCCCACAGCTCACCACCAGATGTCGGGGGGGAGAGCTCCTTCAGACTCTGCTGACACCTATATCTTTCATCTCCACCCCACCCTCAGTGCTTAGCACTCCCACTTCTTCTTTCCTTGTTTTCTTTTTATTTTTAAGGCTAAAGAACCTTTTAGTTTTGGTTTCATTTCCCTTTGCAAGGTCCAACTCTGCTCGGCTTTTGGCAGTTCTCACTTTCCCCCCCACTTGCTGGCCTCCAATAGATACCTTTCCTTGCTGATCCATCCCATCTTCCATTCCTCGTAGGCTTTCTGCTTTCTCTTAATCACCTCTTTGAGATCCTGGTTCATCCAGTTTGGTCGGCAGCCCTTCCCTACCGGCTTCTTCCTGGATGCAGACTCCAGAAAGTTTCTGCAACTTAGACTTAAAGTAATTCCAAGCCTTCTCCACATCCAGATCTTTGAGATTTGCAGGTCATCCAGTTCCTACCTAACTAATTTTTTACAGTTTGCCCTTTTGAAATCCAGGACCCCCAGCTGCCGACCTGTTTTGGTTTATCCTTCCATTTAATTTAACCTGAATTAGCTCCTGGTAACTCGAACCAAGGCTGTCCTCTACAGCCAGATCTTCAGTGAGGTCCTCGCTACTTATCAATACCAAATCTAAACTGGCATCACCGCTTGTTGGTTCAGTGACTATTTGCTGAAGAAATCTGTTGGCTGTCACATCCAGGAATATCCGGGCCCTACCATTATTAGTAGCACTTCTCCCCCAATCTCTGTCTGGAAAATTAAAGTCTCCCATGATCACACAATTCCCAGTGATATTTATTTCACTGACACTATGAAAGGGGGTCTCTATCCACACCCAAACTGGACCCTTGGGTCTCTAGCAGACCACAAGAACTATCCCAGGGGAGCCTCTGGTAACTTTCTTCCCCACAGTGATTATGACCCAAACAGATTCTGTTTTACCCATTCCAGCCCTTCTCATTTCTTACAACTGCACCTCGTCATGAACACACAATGCTACTCCACAACCTTTGCCCTTTTCCTTTCTTTCCTGTACTCTGGTCATGGCTGCTACTGCCCCATGGTTCTGTTCTCCCGATAATCTCTGGTTCCCCATCTTGCACCCGTAGTTCTACTTCCTCCATTTTGTCACCCGGCTCCTGGTGTTGCTGAGCAGACAAGTCACTGCTTCCGCTTGGCTTTGCTCAGATTTCTCACCCGGGTAGGTTCAGTCGTTTTACTGCCAGTATCGGCCACCTGACTGGTGTCAGTGCTCTTGGCACTATTGTTCCTCTTGTCGTCCATTCTCCCGCCCTCTGTCCTTCCTTTCTCCACTGCTGGGCCCTGTCCTACTTGATTTGCCTCCCGCTCAGTGTGAGAATCGGGCCTGGAGATTCCAAGAGCATCTCCCAGGGTTCCTAGTTTAAAGCCCTTTTCATCAGCTGTGCCAACCTCCATCCTGGAAGTCTATCCCGCACCCTGTTCAGGTGGCTTCCGTCCCATGAGACCAGTCAGCTGTCCGTGAGCGCCTCCCAGTGGTCGAACATCCCCAAGCCCTCCTTAGCCCCACTGCCTGAGCCACCTGGTGATCATCAGCATCTTGTCTCCCCTTCACTCTCCTCCTCCCACTGAAGATTCCCTGAGCCTCCATTTCTTTTAGGATCTTCCCCAGTAGGGTGACCAGACAGCAAGTGTGAAAAATCGGGACGGGGGTGAAGGGGTAATAGGAGCCTATATAAGAAAAAGACTCAAAAATCAGGACTATCCCTATAAAATCAGGACATCTGGTGACCCTATTCCCCAGCCTGGCGCAGTCTCCCTTGATGTATTCCAGCAAGAATCTAGGGGCTTTCCCCTCCAGGGAGTGCTGCCTCTGATCCAGCCCCACGGCAGGGGGACTAGCTGCCTGAGGAGGGTGGGAATGGGGCCCAGGGCTCTGATCTCAGGCACTGGCTGCGTTGGGGGTTGGGAATGGGGCAAGGGGCTGTGATCGGGGGCCATGGGACAGGCTTACTTGGGGGTTGGGGGTCCAAGATCTGACCCTGCTCTCTCCCTGCAGCAGGGGCCGGGGGCTCAGCCAGAACCGGGGCGCCCGGTGCAGCTGGTGCATCTGGATGAGGAAGAGAACCCGATCCTGGATGAGGAGGCCCTGAGCCGCTGCCTGGAGCAGGGTGGGGTGGGGGACGCCCCCGTCTGCCTGGTGTCCATCATCGGGGAGCAGCGCTGGGGCAAATCCTTCCTGCTGAACTACCTGCTGCGCCGGCTCCAGAGCCCGGTGAGTGTGAATGGGAACAGGAGTGAGCTGGGGTGTGAACGACTCAATCCTGCTCCCTGCTGGCAGGTTCAGAGCTGCAAATGTGTCTGTGAGCAGCCCGACCCCCACCAGGTCCAGTTAGCTCGGGCCATGGCTGGGCACGAACATGTCTGTCTGACTGTCTGGAACACAACGTGTCTCTCTGTGTGTCTAGACAGCAGTGGGTCTGTTTGTCTATGAGATTACGAGTACACCCGTCACCATGTATCCTCCCCACCCCACACTAGTACAATTAACCCCTGTCCCCTCTCAGGGTTTGCAGCCTGGGGTAAAAAGGGGTACCAGTACTGACCTCCCCCACCCTTCACTGACCTCCACCCGGCATGTTCCCTCCCGGCAGGACACGAGGGACGGGTCATGGATGGGCCGGGAGGATGAACTCCTGGAGGGTTTCGAGTGGTGTGCGGATGAGCAGCGAGTCACCGAGGGGGTGTGGGCCTGGAGTCAGCCCTTCTGGGTCCCTGCCGAGGGGGGGAAGGTAAGTGGAGGCATTGGGGGTGCACAGAGAAGGGGGAGGAGGCCATGGGAGTGGGAGAAGGGAAAGGGGAACAGGGTAGAGGGCTGGGACCAGAGGGAATGGGGGAAACAGGGAGGGATGGACAGAGACATGGGGAAGGAGGCCCCAGGGGAACCAGCTGGAGAGAGAATAGGGGGGAATGGAGAAGAGACAGAAGTAGGGAGCTAACACTGGGGAACTTCTGGGGAAGGCGAGAATGAGATGCCAGGTGCCATGGGGGTGGAGCAGGGGGCAGGCTCTGGGGGCAGAAGGGCCGTGGGTGGCTGGACAAAGCCGGGAGCTGACCTGGGGCTCTCACTCTTGCCCCCCCACAGGTGGCCGTGCTGCTGGTCGACACCGAGGGCTCCATGGACATTGAAAGGAACAAGGAGACCTGCATCAAACTCTCCGCCATGTCCATGCTGCTCAGCTCCTACCAGGTCGGGGAGCTCAGCACGGGGCACTCTCCCCTGGCACTCAGGGCAGGCCCCAATGCCCTAGTGCGGTGCTAGGGGGCGCTGTGCTGCAGGGAGTGGGGCAGAGGCTCAGCAGGGGGCGCTCTCCCCTGGCAGTCAGGGCTGACCCCGATGCCCCATGTGGCGCTAGGGGGCGCTGTGCTCGGGGCAGGTGATGTGGCTGGGAAGTGGCCTGGGCCGACTATTGCTGCCCGTTGCTGTAGCTCTGTCTGTCTCCTGGTTATCTGCAGATACTGAACATTGGCCGTCGGGTGAAGGACCCGGATCTCGAATACCTGGAGGTGAGGCCGGGCAGCGCGATGCAGGACGTGGCCAGGCCAGGTTCTCCCGTTAGCCGCACAGGGTTATTATCCCTCCCCATAGCTCCTGGAGGGAAACTGAGGCCCAGAGAGAGAAAATGACTCTCCCACAGTCACGTGGGCCTCTGGAGTCAGCGCTGTCACAGCACGGCCAGAGGGGAAAGTAAGCCAGTACGCCGTGCCAGACTGCACCGGCTTCCGCGGCGGGGATTTAAAGGGCTCGGGGCTCCCCGTGGTGGTCAGAGCCCCGGGCCCTTTAATTCGCCCCTGAGCACCAGGGACTCACTCCTGTCTCTTCCTGCCACCTCTGCAGCTGGGAGCCCCGGGGTGATTTAAAGGCCACAGCCGGTGCCCCAGGGCCTTTAAATCTTGAGAGGCCCCGCCTCTTCCAGATGAGGCCACGCCCCCCTCAGGACTCCGGCCATACCAGTAAGTCCTGTAAGTTACTTTCACCCCTGCGCATGGCCCAGCCTGGCTGTCTGGCGTGGGCCACTGGGCCAAAGTTAGGACCCCTCCCTCCCCTCCAGCCCAGCTCCACCATTGGTAGGAAGCTGCTGGGGCAGCACCTGGGGCAGTCGCTCTGCCCCCTGCGCTGTTCTGCTCCTCTCTCCAGGGTCTTACCCAGCCCTGCCGAGTCGAGCCTCTGGCAGTCGTGCCCTTAGCGATATCACTGCCGCCTGTGGCATACGGCGTGCCCTGGACTCCTACCCCTGCACCGCACCCTGGGGGGATTCTCTGTGCGGGGGAGGGGTCGGCTTGGGAGGGGTTTATCTGCCCTCGCTGCCCTGGGTTATGTCACTGGCAAAAACATGGTTCACGCAGAGCTCAGGGAAATGCCGTGTGGCCGAGACTGTTCCAGGCGTGAGCAGAGCCGTGATATAACCCCTGGGGCTGTGCAAAGAAAGTTGACAGCATCCATCAGCCTGAGGCAATGGGGTGTTTGTGGAGTGGAACCCCTCGGTAAATGGACCCCAAATTTGGATCACTGACCCCCCCACACCTCTCTGGAGCGCCCTGGAGAGAAGGAGAAAGTCTTGAAACCAGACAGAAGAGGGGTGTCAGACCCCTGTGTCCCACGGCCTCCCTCCCCCTCCCATGGCCGGGTGCAGCCTTATTCTCTCTGCCCCACTGAAATTGTCTCTGTCCATATCAATATTCGTTTCGCACTCGCTGGGCCTCGCTCTCGGCCCTGGGCAGAGGGAGAAGCTCAGATGTGGGGATTAGGGAGTGATCAGGCCCCTTTCTGTCCACAGGCAGGATCACTTCCCCCCAGACCAAACACCTCCCAGGTCCCAGACTCGCCCCGTCCCTCTTCTCTCTTCACAGATGTTTGTGCAGGTGGCCGAAGTGGTTGGAAAGGAATACGAACTGGAGCCCATACAGGTGAGATGGCTGCCCCCCCAATCACCTGCCCTGCCCCATGTGTCCCCACATTGCACCCCTCCCCCACTCCACAGCATGCACCTGCTCCATGCACCCCTTGCCCCACTCCCAAGGGGTTGAGGTTTCCCCAGCAGACACTGTCCTTCCCCCCGTCCCAGCCTCCCCCACCCTCAGTGACCCCCACTCCCCGCCTGTCTCCCCTGCAGCATCTAGACCTGCTGGTGCGGGATTGGAGCAGCTCCCTGGTCCTTGGAGCCCAGGGTGGGGAGCAGCATCTGAGATACGTCAGACAGGTGACTGTGGGGCTTGGTTGGGTGG